TGTAGAAAAGGTGGAGAGATTAATGAGTGTGGTACTTACCTTGGGTGTTTGTAGCCTCTAAAATGCTCCTAATATTGTCCATAAGTAAGCCCTAGTAGAGCTTGGTGCATCCTCTTTGTTCTCTTCTTTATTTTCTCTTTTTTTGTCTCAGGTTCGTGTCTAATAAATTTTAGAAATTGAACATGTGCCACGCGCATGGCACAAAGAGGTCTTTTTTCATATTTGAAGTGTCTGTGCACCACAACAACATCACTCTTCATTTTCTTCTCCTTTTGATGCCCGAGTGACCCACCTTGATACTGGACCCACAAATTAGGCTAAAGTACAATCAAATATATTTATTAGACCTCTATGGCCACACACCACATTAACTTACTTAATTATCCTAATTAGGTTTAATTAATCAATCGATTAAAAACTGGGATGTTATAGCATCAGATCAAGAATTGGTAATGGACTGAATACAAAGTTCTGGATAAACTCCTGGGCTCCTTGTGGGATCCCTCTTGTTTATATGATGTTAATAGCTTTTTTGACCTGAAGGAGTATGTTGCTTATTTTCTTACTGTGGATGGTGCTTAGGATGTATGAAAAATGGAATTTTGGCTTCCTAATCATGTCATACAATAGATATATAGTACCCCCATTTCAAGAGTTGAGAGAGGAGATGATGTGTTTATCTAGAACCATCAAATGATGGTAATTTTAATATTCGATTTGCATATGATTTTCTTGTTGTAGGTAATGACAATCCAAAGGATGCAATTTAAAGCAAAGATTTGGCATTGAAATGGACCTAAGAAGATTAAAGTGATGTTATGGCTTGTGGCAAACAACAGGATGCACACAATGAAGTTGAGAGCTAAGAGAGGACTTGCAGCTTCAGACATGTATCCCTTTGGCTATGACTCAAGTGAGGATGTGTTACATCTCCTTCCAGATTGCAACCATGCTAAAATTTAGTGGACCTAGCTAGTAAAACCAAAACCATGGGCAAAATTTAAATCACTTAACAAGGACGATTGGTTGTTATGGAATTTAAAGCAAGAAGTTAGGAAGCATTTTCCTAAACAAGTAACTTGGCACATTCTTTTTGGGTATGTTTGCTAAGATATTTGATGTAGTAGATGTAAGAAAGTTTTTTACAATGAGGATGTGGATAGAACAGGGTCAAGCCTTGCCACATTCCAAAAAGTAAAATCTAATCTTAATATCTTGCAGATGTCTTACACATTAGGAAAGCAGGCAAAAAGGAATGTTGAGAGATGGACTAGACTTAAGTTGGGTAAAGTCAGTTTAGATATTGACAGTTTTGTTTGCAATGGACTAGGTAAATTTGAGGAATCATAAGGGATGGGAATGCTAGTTAGGTTGTTGGTTTTAACATATGTATTCATTATATGCTCGCTACCTCAATTGAAATAATGGGAATTCTAAAGGGGCTGCAAATTTGTAGGATTTAAGATATAGAAATATCAAAGTCTTCACAAATTGTGTAGAGGCCATAAATCTGAACTACAGCACCCATATAGGGACATCATTGATCATGTTAGGTTGATGTTGGATAGATCTTGGATTGCATCGATTAACTTTATGTTTAGGAAAGCAAATTTTTGTGCTCATTTTCTAGCTAGAAATGCTAGGAAGGTGTTGGAATCTTTTGTTACCTTTGATCAACCACCCTTTATTGTGTTAAGGTGGTGGATGATGAAAGGAGATCCTCTCTAGATCCTACTTAATTGTGTACCTTCTTTGTATTTATAGCCTCTTATAATTAAAAATATATATTTTATTCTCATATAACATTTTATTTTATTTACAGAAAATATGTAATAGTGAAATTGGAAGAAATTAAAGTAATCAATGATATAACTTTTTGCGAAAAACTGACTTATAAAATTGATAAATAATTCTATCTAGAAAGGTTATTTATGTATAATATCACAGGGATATTTTTAAACAGAAACTGCAATCTCTATTAATTAATAAGAACTAATGGATTCAACAACAAAAAACTAATAGAAAACAAGATGCTCCCTTTGTTAGAAAATATAGGGTATTTTTAGTGTTTCAAGTTTTAATTAATGTGTTTTTTTTAAGTACTTATAATAAACAAATTACTTTATATTTATTTTAAAGAGAAATACCTTATTAAATAAAGATAAATATGATAAGATGGTGTTAATTTTAACACAATTAACAACTACTTTATTGAGGTGAATGCTTTGCCTTTTTTCGCATGGGAGTACAAAACAAAACATGGGAAGACCTCAATCATCAACCCCCGGCTCTTGGAGAAGAGGTGGTGATAGTGGTCGAAGAGACAAAAATTTCCCTCAATCCTGTAAGAAATTGTCTGGCAAGGCAGTTAGCCTCTAAAATATTATCCTTATAAACGTAACTTGAATAAATTTTCCAGTCTCTGTGAAAATGCAATCTGGCATCCTCAACAATATCCCGAAAAGGGTATTTTGGGTTACAACGAGGGAGTATATTGATGACGACGACGACAATATTTCACTGGTTTAACATTTTAATTTTTAATTTCATTTTTAACATTTCAATTTATTTTTTTGGCCACAGATGTAAACTTTTCGCTCACATAATATATCGCTGTGATTTTGTGTGATATGAGATGACAATAGAAAAGTTAAGCTGAAATTTTTTATTTGATTAGATCAGGGTTATTTGAGATTTAAATACTATCAAGTATCAATATTGAACCCTACACGTCCTTGCCCATTACCGCTTAAATTTTAATACAACGATAAATAATATTATAAGTAATTTTATTTCCAAAATAAATGTAGCATAATGTTCATTTGACTGATACAAAAATTAAGGCAACATCATATTTGAAAAAGAAAAAATAAAAAAAACGAGTATAATGTAGTTTAACAATTTCTTAAAAAGAGACGCCTAATTTCCGTTAATTACCATTAATACACAAGTTTTGCATATTCAAATGCTGAAGTGCTGGCGCCTAATTTCCACTACTATTCAAGGCAACGCATCCTTAAATGCTGACCGCCTGACCCCTCGTTTGCATCAATATTAGTATGCAACTATTAATTTTTCTTGTACATGGATATCTGACTAATTAACTTTGCTTGCCCTCTTACCCATATTTAATACCTTGCTTAAATTTTTTTCATTAAAATTTGTATTTAGCACTTAATAGGAATTGCTTTGACATGAGGCATGTTATTTTTCGAAACTTACCCTCAAAAAAGAGAGAGATTATTTTTCAGAGCCTAGAAGGAAAAAACCTAGATAAACACGCCTAGAAGGAAAACCTAGAAAAACATTTGGTTTATAGAGCCACTGGACACATGTACAGTTGAAAAATCCATATATTTATAGATAAAACCTAGAAGGAAAAGAAAAACATGTTCTGTGAATTTGGTTGCCAGTACTGTCTCAGAGTTTGGAAAGGAAAAAAAAAGAGAGGAAAAATAACATTAAGAAAGACAGCCAATCAGATTTTGACAGGTAGAAGATCCCTGGGATTTCGATAAAAAAAAAAAACCATTATTCAATATAAACCTAATTTCCTGTCTGCCAAAACTCGAGCTAAATTTTCTGTTATTCATATACATATTGAACTCTTCCAAAGATATACGACAATAAGAGGATGGAACAAATGAAGTAGTCGTGCAAAATAAATTGAGTAAATATATACATATATATGTATATACATATTGAAGTACCGGCACATAATATAAGGAAATGATCGAGTCGGCCATGAGATTACGGGAACCGGCTTGTTTATTCGAAGTTATGTATGAAGGTCATCGTCTCCACAACAAAAAGACAAGGACAATTTTGATAAACTCGGTGTCACAATAAAACCAAATAAACATGAATGTCAGCACTTTCTTGTGTATGTTTACACGTTTCTTAAGATTGGTCTTATTTTTCACCAAAAAAAAAATTAAGGAAGGACACTTGTATATGAAGATATATATTTGCGTTATATAGATTATTATCAATCGCTGATAAGATAAAACACGGATACGAAACTAATGTTTTGGTTCGGTGAGTGTACCGAAGCGGATGACATGGTCTGCTCTCGACTGCCAGGAAAAAACTGACACAACTCGGCGTTTTGCAATTGACTGACGTAGGATTTTCAGAACCGAAAGTTGCAAATTCAGATTACCAACAACGATAATATAAGTTAGTTATCCAAACCTCCAGTCCCATCTTACCTTTCATGTATTGCTTTTAGCCTTTCCAGACTAGTAGCGCTGCTACATGTACAAGCAGAACTCTAGAACCTTACACAAAGCTTTGGAGTATTCTAGACACACGACAACCCTTCAACGTGGCTTGCCTCATACTACGAGTCCTAATGAATTATTGTTGGACAATCATATTTAAGGTCTTTTTTTTTTTTTAATCATAAGGCAAGTTACAGAAACTTGAAAGCAAATAGCAAGAACCTAATTAGAGGTCAAAGACCTCATGTCCTGTAGGAAATCTGGAACACAAAAAGAAGGAACAGAATTAAAAAAGATGATGTCCGCTTCCATACATTATATTTAAGGTCTATTGAAGCGAAATAATCACACCACAGGCCCTTTCAATTTTGAAATAATTGCCTAGACCCTTTAAAAATAAGATTTCCAGTTAAAACACAAGAATGTCCCCATTTTTCAAGTATATATTTATATATTTGCTACTAGACGTTTACTTATTTATAAGTAGAGATTCACATATTTATAAAAGAAGAATCACATATTCATAAGTTTACATGTTCACTAATTTACATGTTCATGTATTTATAGCTACAGTTTCACATATTCACAAGTATATATCAACACACAAATTCAGATTTACAATTAACGAATATGTAAACCTCTTATTGTAAATATATAAACCTATACTTATAAATTAGTAGACATCTGGTAAACATGCGAACATGTACTTGTCCTATGAACATTTTCGTTTTGTCAGTAAAAAATTTATTTGCAAAGAGAACTACTGAACCTAGACAATTATTTCAGTAAAAATTCGGCCTTAGCCCCGTTAGTCTTATAATCAATCATTTCAAGAACCACTTTTTGTTCTCCATAGTAAACAGAAATTATTTGGTTTCACTGTTTCACATGTAGGGTAGAGGTGCAACAACAAAAACTGACACACATGAAAATTCCCGCAGGTTATTGGGGTGAGTTTTTACCCTTCCAGAGAAGAATTATTAAGCACAAACATTCACGCGTATAATATATATATATATATATATATATCTGACGTGTTTCAAGGCATTCGTCTCTCAGGTGGTCCTATAACCAAATCTGTCTCCACGCCATCCGTTTTTTCATTCAAGTGCTCAACATCCTGCTCTTCAGGCGAATTCCACCGCTGTAACTCATCACCGCACTGTGACAACGAAACATCGAGAAAACATTCCAAACAATATTAAGCTCTCTTTTAACCCAAAAGATGGAGGATTTGAGATTTCGATTCTCTTGTGACTTGTCAATGGGCGCATATATATATATAATGAACGTGGAAGAAAAGCAGGACTGATTCCCATTTAGTCAGAGATGCTTCTGCCCAGAAAGTTAGAATCTATAAGAAGGGAGAAAGAATTTCACCTGTTCCCGTAACTCTTTATTTACTCCTAGTAAGCGCTTTTCCTGGAGAATGCTCAAACATCGAGAATATAATCTCAATGAGCAATAATCTGAAACATATATACAAGGAGGAAATACGTGCGCACGTGCAAGTAGCGGCATTACCTCTTCTCTTAGCTTCTCGATCTGTTCCTTGAACAGTTGATTCTGAGGCAGGATTGTCAAGCGTTTCAGCCTTAGTTTTAAAGTGGTCAAATTGTGGATTAAGTGATAAATTAAACTACGACCATTAAGTCCTTTGGCCGTTCTAAATTTTAGAATCTATTCATGTCGAACAAATAATTATGTAAACAATTAATGAATGCTAACAGCTGTAATTGATCTAAAAGCTGACCAGAGGAAATAATTGCAATGAGGCGATCCAGTGTACCTTTCTTGCCCTAATTTTGGTTAAACTTTGTTCCAGCTGCTTCTCTATCTGACGTAACTCGTCAATGAAACACGTATCCAGACCATCCCCCAGAAGCTTCCTGCGAGTATGATAAATACCATTGGTTCGTGTGATTCCCATATATATATATATATATATATGAGACCAGCTACACTCATAAAGGGCTGATGAGAACTGAACCTTTTAAGAACTTCAAGATTCTCTATCTTCTTTGTCATGTTGACAGCACCTTCCTTAAAATGCAAACATGCAAACAACAAAGAATTAAAAGCACTGACCTGTCCCTATCAACATGCCATCAAATTATGCGTTAAAATCAATCAAACGTGATGGCAGTGCGTCTCTTCCATGCCATCAAAATTTAAGAGGAAAACAAATAGTCGAACAAGTAACTCCAATTAACGCTGGATTATCAAAGCTGAAAAAAGAGACACCCCATCCTCGAGGAAGGCTCTACGGTTTTCCGTATGAGTAAAATTAAAGTACAGAAAACGACTGTTTGCAAAACTTAAACGAGTAAAATAGTACTCAATAACATTTTATTAAGTTAATCCGAGCTATCACGAAAATGCAAGCCTTTCTTAATTATCCATTCATAGACTAATACTAAATTTTGCATTATGAGTCATAAATATATAACCTAATTCATCCATTCTAGTTAAAAGACATGTTCACAACTTGATGGGTGGCCGCCACATAAAATTTGAGACAGTATTGGCATCCAGCTCAACGCATCTTTGCGTTTTACACCTCAATTATCATCTTTTTTCCATTTTTTCTAGGAGATCATTTTCGGAGATAATATTCAGTGCGGCTACAGTTTATCTTTTGCCAAATATGTAACTAACCCAGACCTAAACATAAAATTAAGATAATTAATATACTCCTTCCGTCTCTATATATAAAGTGTTTTTAACTAAATTTTACATACCAGTAAAAGTTTATTATTTAGTTGAACTCACATAAAAACACAATAATTTTTCAATTTTACCCTCGATAATATCATAATTAATATCATGATAGTGGTAGAAAAACATACAATTAATAATCTATTCTATTTTTCAAGACAAAGGTAAAATTGTCTAATTATGCATAGGGAGAGAGGGAGTATATAACAGCAATAGGACAAATAATTACATGCTATGATATAGAAATAGCTGTAACATAAAACAGTCATTACTGTATCGGTATGCTGAAAATGAATAACTCGTGCCAAAACGCATCATTTCAACCCAACATTTATACTCATTGACTGTTGCATTCAACTAACCACTTTCATGAGAGAATGTACAGAATCAAATTATAGATCTTCAATAGACGGTTAATGCAAATAGGTAAGGCTAACCTGCGTATTTGCTTGGCTTCCTCTGGTGCCAAGATCCCGGTCCTTGACTTTCCTTAGGTAGCGTTCAACCGTTTTATTCACACTGAAGCACCTCCAAGACAGCAGGAAAAGGTGTCTCAAAAATTCATTTTTCTTCCTATAGTAGGATACAAAACCTACGCAAAAATTATTTTATATAAAATAATTATAATATACCTATGTGACTTGCATGGATTTTTAGTTATACTGCATTTATACATTTTATTTATACATATGCATAGTATATAGATATAGATACTTAAGTACAAGGTATTATATAGAGAGAAAGTAATTAAGTAATTTCCTATGACACTGTTACGCAGTTAAATCATTGAACAAAAAATTGTTAAAAAATGATTTGACAGGTATATAAATATAAGCTTAGGCCAGGCCAGCAGGCAAAGGGAGGTTTTCATCATATAAATCCCAAAGAAGTTGGATTTGCATATATTTTTTAACCTCGCATGCATGCTGCAAAACCAAAAAGCATGGAAACCGCACCCATATATTAAACACCACGTACAAGGTTAATTTACCAAATAACAGGGAACAGGAAATGCTGTAAAAGAAAGAGACAGAGTTTTTTATAATTATCTTAGAACATTAAGTAATTACCCACGACAAGATATGGGCATATAATATTGACTCCTGGTAAAGCAAGGACAAGAGCTCTTATTTTTATACGTGTCACGCACCTTGACTTGAACAACCAACAATTTGCCTACTAGTTTAAATTTAAATTTAAGTTAGTTTAATTAAATAAAGTCTTGTGATCAAAGAACAATTCACTCGAATAGTTAACTACATTGCATCATGTCCATCTGTTCTGTTGCATCTATCGAGAACCGGTTTTCTGCAACGACACCAGTTCATTCTGAAATACTTCCAAAAAATATATATATATATATATATAATTTTATATATATATATATATATAATTTATCATACAAAATGTGAGAAATTATCACCACCATGGAAAATTATTTTTATTGTTGGTTATATAATGTAATGTAATATGGATGACATTTGGCTTTAAAATATATCAATACTACTGTAGCAAAACATATAGAACAAGAATTTAAATTCAAGCAAAGGTAAGGTGAGATGTGAATATAAGTTTAAGATTTCAAACCTTCTTGATATAATAAATAAAGGAATTTGATAACTATATTGGCAGAAATAGGATTTTTAATTTTAATTCATTAAAAATAATATATTGTGAATTGAATATTGAAAGTATTATATCTTTTTTTAAGCTCTTCAAATGCAAGATTAAGTGAAATTCATTCATAAATTTATTTGTTTTACACACCAAATAATCCGTTAATTGGTCTTTTAAAAACTTCGAAAGGCCAAAGAGCCCCCGCGATTTTCTTAAGGGTTAAGACACTGGAGAGGGGTTGGGGTCAACTGCAACTATTCTTTGAGTAAAAAGATACCAATTCTTCCGTGCGACTGCTTGGAAATTTTGAGACTTCATAAAGTTGGGTACCTACGTGCTCGTATAATGAAGCTTGGGAACGGCTGTCTAATCTGGAGATGGTCTCTCCACTTTTTTCGTCTAATCTACCCACCTTCCGTTTCAAGCTTTGACAGTGCAGATTAATAAAATTTACTTATGCAAATCTTTTTATAAATTATTTCTACCAACTTTATTAATATTAATATAAAATAAATATAAAAAATAAAAATATGTAAAATTTTAAATATATTTTTATATAATAAATTTAAAAAATAATATCATATCATTTTTTTGTAAAGAATAATTTTAAAAATATATTTTAATTATTATTTAAAAAATTACACTGTAATTTATAAATAAAACTAAATAAATCTTTTAAAGTATAGTTTTTAAATGAGATAAGAGATAATGTCTCATTGTTACGTTCTTATCTCTTCAGCCCCCGGCCCCCCTCCCTCATCCCTGTGATAGGCAGGGATGTAAAAAGTTAAATCAAATGTGGACTCGGAGACTGGAGAAGATTTGACCTACAAAGGAGGAGCTGAGCTTAGTGTACAGGCTCCTTTCGAGGCGTAATAATGGGACCTGGGACCGATCGATCAATAATATCAAAATTTCTTGGTATAATCTTGTCACTGTGCATGACTTGACAATTGACATAGATTAGGGATCATAAATTAAGAACCGTGATAATTGAATCAAATAGATAGAAACAGATAAATAAATTGGTTTTTAATTAGTTTTGGTAATACTAGGTGTCGTTTTGGGGTTGGCAGTAGTAGAACATACCGAGAGCTGGAAAACTCAGTGAGCCTGCCTCTTGGTGAGAAGATGATGAGCGCAACTTCGGCATCGCACAGCACAGAAAGCTCGAAAGCTTTCTTAAGCAACCCGTTTCTTCGCTTCGAGAAGGTGACTTGCCTGCTCGTGTCATTTTCTATCCGTTTCATCTGAGTTTTTCCCCTCACCATCCTTATAGACCCCAGACCTCTTAATCTGCGAATAAAACGATTCTTGCAAAGGTGATTGAACTCTCAGTATATCTCCAACTGAAACGGACAGAGATAAGTGGGATCTGGTTAGTTGCTTACGATTTTCGAAACCAAAAAAACCAGAATAGGTGCGTTAGTTTCAAGAAATATTCTAGCTCTAGTTTTCATGTGTGTGTGTGTGTGTGTGTGTGTGCAGGAAGAGACATGATTTTCAAAATTTTGCTAAAATAAACGCGCAGAGCCCAGATGAGATAAGATTGCCAATAAAAAGAAAGTAGTAATAACTAAACCAAACTAAACTTGCCTTCAGAAACCAGAAAGGCTTGCGAAAGTGACTAGCTTTGTCTTGGAAACCCTAGGAAAAATCTTCCTGAGAGAAGACGGAATACAAGGCGAGAGGAGGGCTGATTGATTGAGTGATAGATTGCCTGCTCCACCCACCCTCCTCTGATCTTATTCAGTTATTCTAATATATTTGCCTCTAAGCACTTGACGAGCATTATTCTCAAACCATAAATCTGGACGACTCTCGGAAAAGGGCAAGTCTCGGAACCTAATTTATTTTCTTCTTTTGGCAAGCACCGGAAGAAAAATTCCAACCTTCCCTAATCAAGGAAAAAAAAAAACAGAGAATAAATGCTCGCAGACACGTGAATCCGTCCCCGCAGAGGAGCTTTTCACAATGGCTCGGTGCTATCGACCACCGTGGCGACACGTGGCAGAAGGCACTGACAACTTATGCTACCGGTGACAGACATCGGGACAAGACTGGAGAGCGGGCTGCTATCAGAAAACAGCAAACAACTCTGTCGGTTGCCAGTTATTGCGGAACAGAGATGCAGGGAGGAAGGGGCTTTGGCCTTTGGGAATGGAAAATTAAAGAAACGATGGTCCGTACGAAGGCTTGACCACGTCAATTAATTCGTTCAGTATTTGGCAAGCTACAGCCAGTAAAGTAAAGCCACCTCATCCGGTTGCTTGTGCATCACGTGTCACCACCATATGGGTTGTCTTTGTTTTTTTTTTTTTTAATATGGGTTGTCGTGGGTAACATTTTTAATATTTTAGGTATATTAAAATTTTTTAATAGTATTAAAAAATGATATATACTTTTATTTTATATTAAATATCTTTATAAAAAAGATCAAATTAAAAAAAATTAAATATCATAATATATTTTATATTTTAAATCAAAATTTTTTATAAAAAAATGTCTTATATTAAATAATAGGATGGGACTAGTTTGTTTTTGGTTCTCTAGATTCTTGTACCTTCTGATTTTTTTTCTCGGTATTCCAGTATTATTCAATATTGGTATTGATAATTTTATTATTACATTTTGTTATTATCAAGTACACCTCTGAGTCCTGACCGCTTAGAACAGAGTCACAGTTTAGCAGGGAAAGTCTGGGGGAGCCTATTTATTTAACTTTTTTCATTTTTTTATTTAAATCAACAGTCTGCTTTTGGTCAGGGAGGCTTAGTGGGGAGTGGTCCAGAATTCAGATTTAGGAAATAAAGCAAATGAGTTTTGATTGTTCGGCCCTGCTATAAAACCTAAACGAAATGCAAATGGACCAAAATGCCTCCCACCATTGACAACGAAGGACATTACTCCCCCCCTGCTCCCACGCATCTAGAGCCCACTTGAATTGGTCCCGTAAAATACTCTCATAAGAATAAAAGGTAAATTATGTTCTGTCCAGTCTATTGTTAATTAATAATTAGAGAGTGAATCGGCAAAGTAATTAGGGATTTAATACATCCATCTTTTTTTTTTTTTTCATTCGAACCCTTCCAATGCCTTTGGGGGGGGGGAGATGATAGTACATCTTGTTAGCCAATAAATGCGGCCCACCTAATGGCCCACGAGATGTCAACTGGTAATTTTGATTTTAGTTTATTTGACAATTCACTTGTTGATTGTATAAGTCTTATGACGTCTGACATTACTTAATTTTGATTTTTTTAGCATGATTTTTATCATGGCCTTATATTAAAAGAAAAAAAAAAAGAGTCTAAGGCTTACCACTTGTAGATTTCCTTTCATCATTTTTTACTTTTAAACATGGAGGTGGGACTGATTAAAGATAAAAGTCATGATCGATCCTATGTGAAAGTTAATTTAAGCCTAGTTTTAAATTGAATGAGCTCTCTTGGCAGGTAAAGGTGGGGATGGGTTTGAGATGATGATGTTCCATAAGGTGATAACTCTATGACCTCATTTAGTATAGAAGAATAAGAGAGTGAGACTTGGGCTTAGGATTGACTAATCCCAAGTTTTAGTGTTTGATACGTGAGAATAAAAATTTTAATCTCAATCCTAATCCCACTTAAGTGGAATTACTTATTACCATCACCCCCTAATATTACAAAATAAATAATGGAATTGATTTTTGTAAAGACTAAAGTGTCCTTATCTCTGCCTCCCATTCACCCTATCTTCTTCATATTTCAATGGTTTAGAGTGCCAAATCCAACATTGTGTTCTTTCACTAGTCTGGCAACTGATCCATTTCCTTTGTCTTTATCTTAGAACTTAGTTCAACAGTGTTAACGACAAGTCAGAAGTCAAGGTTCCATTATCATCTTCCTCAATTTGAGAGAGTGCATATTTGGGAACAAGTCATTGGACAAGCTTCACCGTTGCGTTTACTCCCAGATCCATCTTCATCTTCTTCAATTCAATAAAGCCCAAATCTAGTTCCAAGTCATCGGACAAACTCTATCGTTGCGTTTGCTTCCAGATCCATCATCATCTTCTTCAATTTAATCATAGATAAAGATAAGCTCCTAGATCCATCACGAACGAGCTCCATAACAAGGTAATCTACAGCAAGGGGAAGGGGGTTAGGTTCAATCATGAGTCCCAAAAAAGATAGGTTTAAGGGCAACTTTGTGTTTATTAATTATGAGAGGCATTTTAGCCTTTTCATAACACATGTTTAATTGTAAGATAAAATGAAGTAAAGTATTTCCATCAATTATTACTCCATACCAAACATAATTTTAAAGCCCTAATCCTACTCCTTAATCATGCTAATCTCTCCAAATTCAAGCTTGTGTGACAAATAGGGCCTATTAATAAGGGTACTTGAATCCTCTCAATGCTCATTTGCAATTCTCATGAACCAATGCGCTCTCATGTAGTCATGTATCTTCTACTAGCAAGATATTGATGTGTTGAAATCATAGATTGAGCCCCTTTTTTTAAGAAAAGGTGAAAAAAAAAGAAGAAAATGTAAGTACATCAAATCTTTGCTACTTGACCTAACGTAATCATCATTAGTTTACAAATCAATTTAATAATAACTAGACAAGTTTTTCCTAGTGAAAATCTCGTATAATAATTGATACACCATGAATAGTGAAATTTATCTTTAAAAAGAACATACTAATCATTACTATAATTGAATAACAATGATATTGTTTGGATTAAAATATGATTATTGGTTTGAGCCCTAACATTTGGTCTAAAATCTAAATTTGTGGCCCAAACTCCACACCAAGTCTCCAAAAAAGAGATGGTTGAAAAGGAGACTTGATCATTTCACATATATTTTCAGAAAATAAAAGTGGAGGAAGTTTTGAAGAAAATTGCACATAATGTCCTCTAGAAAGTGAAGCGTGAAGCGTGGAGAAAGTTGCCACTTTATGCCTATAAAAAAAAGGAAGTTATCACTCACACCTACAAGGCTACAAACAATTTCTCACAAGACTTTAACAAACTCAAGTTCTAATCAACCCAAATGTTTCACCAAACACATTTTTCTTCAATCAGAGCACCATGAATTTACCATAGAGCATTGAAGTTTTTCAGTAACTATTGAAGTGTCAACTTTTAAGAGAATAGCATTACCAATATACCAACGCTTTTCCCCTTACAAATTGAAACTTCCTTTTTATTGTTGTCAATATCATATCTGCCATCATCTGTAAGTCTTGCATACTTTTCTATCTTTATTCTTTAATTCTCTTTATTTTAAAAAACTTATATTCAGAAAAATTATGATAAAAGATCTTGAAAAATCACCATTTAATTTAAAAGTCAAATAAATCACACTTTTTGAAAATACGCTACTTTTAGAAGGCTTGATTAAAATCACTAAACAAATATAGATTAAAAATTGATTTTTATGATAATATTTTAGATATAAATTTTATGTATTGCACGAAATATGATAAATATAAATCATGTTACCCAAGACTTATAAATACTACTATTACCCGAAAGTTGTGTTGTGGTTATTTATTTGTTCATGTTGCCAACAAGCATGGAGGTTATTTCATAGAAAAGCATAGGCTGGTATTTCAATTCAAGTATTCAATGCGAGGAAAAAAAAAATTCTCATGCGTTCCACGTCAAAGTATGGGCATTAACTATTAACCCGTTTTTTAATAAAGAAGAAAAAAGGTGTCTACTAGATCTCTCGAGACGAATTTGACATGGATAATGAAAGGCCTCACAATCAAGACAGCGAACCAAGCTTACCGGCGAAGCTAGCCAGGAACCATGGTGGGAAATGCATCATAACCAGTAAAAAAAAACCAATTTTGTCCTTATAGCCATAGATTTTTTATTAACTAGAAATGACGATAAGAATTATGTTGCAACTTGCTAGAGTTGCTACTTACTTATATCTGACAGTAATCAAAATAGATTAATTTATTTTTTATCCAAGGAAGACAACAGTGCTTTTCCATGGTTTTATTTTAGGTCCGCATGTAGATTCAAGAAGCCATGTGTAGTCTGGTCCAAAAAAGAGAGCCATGTGTTGGCAAAAAACGTGTTTTTTAAGGGGGGGGGGGGTGAGTATATGTATGGGTTATATCGTTAAGAAAAAAAAGAATAAACATATGGTTTTTAAAAAAAACCGATGGCAAATCTGGAGACCAATGGGCCTGAGTGTAAATGGGCTTAATAAGTGATAGAAAGAATCAACAGGCCCATATCCCTTTTGCGTGAATACTAACCCATTATTCATCTCACTTATTACGAAAAAATAAAAACAAGGAATAGCAAAATGGGAGAGTGTAAATGGGGTTTTTTCTTCTACTATTTATAAGTCATTTAATTAAATTTTTATAGCAAATTTTTTCATTTGACCTTTATTCAATATTGGAGAGAGAAAATATATTATTAAAGTATGTATATTTATAAGGATAAAGTTAAAAAATAATTAAATTTTTAGGGGGCTTTTGCAAATATAGTCCCTGTTATAAGACTAAACCAAGCAAACAGCCCAATATTTATTATATTTTATATTATGACTAGTTTAATATATTTATAAATGATGTAATATTGTATATCAATGATAAAACTTTTATATATCAATGACTAAAATGACAATTAATTCATAAGGGACTAATTAAATCCAGTCAAGTCCCAAGTAATTCTGAAAAGGCTAATGAAGTCCCATACTTTTTTTTTTTGAGAAATTGAGTTATAATAAAAATGACTAAAATACCCCTATGATTGAATATAACATCAACATTCAACATATCATATCAGCTCCAACATTTTCCTTTCAAGTAAAGCTCCTTCCTACTATTATTGAGACCTGCATGTAAGTAGAGGAAAGACACGTTGAAAAATATCTAACCAAAAACACAATTGCACATGGAAGAGGTGGACTTGCCATAACCACTGACTCACATAAAGCTCTAACTCTAGAACTGGCTATGTTGGTTTTTTTGACTGATGCATTCAAATATGGCTTTTTCTTTTGGCAAATCCTTGGAGTCTATTCCATATTACAGTTTTTTTCCTGCAAATGACATTTGTAAACAAAAAGAAAGTTTTTTTGCAACTAAATATAAAAGGTTTTTTTTTAT